GGAGGCCCTTCCAGGGAGGAAGAGGAGCCGTGAGCCCGGGGGAGCGATCCGCGTGTGTGCACGCCGCGGGGCAGCAGGGCAGCAGGCTGCTGGCGGTAGCTCCAGAGCTGGGCTGAGGGTGGTGTGACAGGAGAGCAGCTGGGTGGGCTGTGGGATTTCTGCTGTGTAATGGTTGTTTACTGCTGCTCTGCCTTTTCCCTGCAAGCCCCTTTTTATCCCGGATTTGCTGGGGCAGAGAGGCAGAGGCAGAGCTCTCCAGGTGCTGTAGCTGTCCCCTTGCTGCTGGCAGGGCAGGTAATAAACCCCGTGGCTTTGCGTGACAGAGCCTGTAACTTTAACAAGCGCTGCCTGTGTTTTCTAAGGGTCTGAAGTGGAGCATTAACCCATTTTGGGGAGCAGAGGTGATCAAAACACTGGAGAAATCTGTGTTTAAAAATCACTGTAACCGGGACACATTTCACTCACTCTCTCTGGCGATAAATTCTGATTTAGTAATCTGGACATTACAAACAGGGAGACCTGTGTGATCACCTCAGATGTGTTTTGGCAAGGCATCACTGAGCTCATTTTCCTCCTTTATTCCTGTCTGGTTATCCTAGGATCCTTGATTTGCAACAAGCCGAGGCAGGAAATATGATCTTGATAAATATTTATGGATGTCAGCCATTTTATAGTTCTGAATTACTGTTGAAAAAATATAAGGATGTTTTCCCATATTTTGTGTTAAATGGACAGTTGTGTTGTATGGCTGGAGACCTTGGGATTCTGCTTAGGGAAGAGAAACGCTGGTGCTGTAGGATGGCAGGCTGGGCTGAGTGGGGATCCTGGAGAGCCGGATCAGACTCCAAACTGCACCTGCCTGGTCCCGGGTGTGTGAGTTGGGTCAGCCCACCCCTTGTGTATGCTGCCTGGTCGCTGGCTGTGGGGTGGGTGAGATCACACAGGCTGTGCTAGGGGGACTGCGGGTGCTGTCAGGGTGTTGCTGGGGAGTGATGACCTGCAGCACTGTGCTTACTTTGTGCCCTCAGGGTCTGGTTCGTGCTGCTCCAGGGCAGCTCAGAGCTGGGAGAGCATTCCCAGGGCAGCTCAAAGTCACTGGTCTGGGCAGTTATTCCAGGAGAGTGAGCATGGAATGCCTGTGATCTCATCTTCTTGCAGAAAACGCTTCTCAGAGTGTTCTGTTAGCTTGGTTTAAGTCTCCTTTATTAATACTTTTCTTCAGGACAGCTGTATCTTTTATCTTTGGGAAGAATGTGGTAGATATGCCACAAAAAAAGGAATAGACAGTGAGAGCCTGCTGTTTGCAGCAGGGAGATGGGACTGCTAGGACAGTTGGTCATTCCTGTAGAAACAAAACAAACTCTTCATGCTGGGCTGCCTGGTTTGGGGGTGGTTGGGTGACAGGAGAGTCACTCACCTGTTTTTCAAGGTAGGTTCCGTGTTGTCTTCTGCATCGTTGGACTTGGTGCAACCTGTCACCCCCCACCAGAGCCACCTTGTCGGTTGTGATGGTACTGCTGTGAGAGTGATGTGGCTATGGTGGTTCTCTTGTCTGGGGGACAGAGCAGAGACAAAGGCCTGGATGGATGCTGGCTGCCCATAATGCTGTCACCAGCTGTCAGTAGCCACCTCTCCATCCCCAGATTTATATTCCAGCTTTTCCAGAAAACAAGGATGTTAAAAATTAACTGTAATGTGAGGGGGGACCCTGGAACTGGGAATTGGACATGGGTGATTGAGCTGGTGGCTATGGTGAGAACATCTGGTGTGCCGCAGAGTCGCCCAGGTGGGCACTGGGATGCTGTGTGCTCTGGGAGGCAGCAGCATCCTTGCAGCCCAGTGCCACCATTGAGGTGTCATGCTGGATCAAACCCTGCTGACCTCCTGGTTCAGTTCTGCCACAGTCACAGTCTCCATGTTGTGGCTTTTGCTGTGGACCTGTGGCTCTGGTCTGCAGGTGTGACTCGTGTGACCTGCAGGTGGCTGGGCTGATGCCTTGGCTTCTCCCCTGTACCAGATATCTGTGACAGATAACTCTCATTGCCTTGAGAGGCCCAGGTGGCTTTGGACAGGTAGGCAGGCTGGCAGGAGTTACAGGTATCTCCGTGCTCCCCCTGGTCATCTGTTATCAGGATGATTTATTCAAGGAGATTCTGGTCCAGCAGATTTATAGAACTGCGCTTGGAATTTCCAGTGGGGATATTTGATCAGGGAAGTCTCTGGAAGCCTTGATGCCAGTTTATGTATTTCCAAGCTTTTGGCTGCAGAAATGTTGTTAAAACTAGGGATTCCTCATGGCTCTTGGTGAACAGTGCATGTTGGGGCTCACAGCCTGTGCGCTCACCATTGGGAACAGCTCTGGAGAACTCCAGTTCACCTTTATGTTTTTATTTTTTAAAATTTTGTCCCAAATGAAGCGAGGAGCCGTTTTAAGTGGGTTATTTTGTGGTGGTTGTCAGTTCTGTACATGACTCATCTTGTTTTCCTGCGGCTTTTTCCCTGTGAAGAGGCAGCTGTGGCAATCCAGGAGATGAGCTTGGAAGACTTCACAGCTCTCTTTTCCCCTCCTACTTTAGGTGATGGGGCAGAGAGCAGCTGTTTGAATTCCTTGTTTTTCCCGTCTGTTGACACCTTTGCCTCTGTGATATCTACAACCTAAATATGCTGTATGAAATACCAACCATTATCCTTCTGCCTGGGAGTTTTAACCCTTCTCTTCCCCATCACCTTTCAGTTTTGGCTGGATTCTGGTTTTTACTCTTCTGTTTTCTCCTCTGGATGACTGGAGATGCTTAGTGTCTTACAAACCATGATTTTGGGAATGTACACCCATGCTAAGTATAGTTTTCTATGGGCTGAAGCAGGTTAGACAGAAGGTTAAGTGATTTGGCCAAGTTCTTTTCACCTGAGGGAGGCTGCAAGTCCAGGTTTGGTGTTTTGCCAAGCCCCCATTTGGTACCACTTTGTGCTTTCTAGGCCCCATTGGACACCTTGCTTTCCCCATATCCCCACTCCCATCCATGTCCTCCTGACCGTCCTGCTTACATCCTTGCCAAATCCACCCGGGACTCCCTTCAGCTCTGCTGGGAGTCTTGAATATTGCTCTTCTCTTCTCCCTCTCCCCTCAGTTTGCCTCAGATGCCAAAGTGTCCTCATGGCAAGCCCTGGGTTTAGGGGAAAGTGAACATCTAGATGCTAGTGGTGATTTACTTTGTTGTTTTTGGGAGTGACCCCATCTCCAGATGAGCTGCTGTAGCTGGGAAGGGTATATCTGTGCTGCCCATGTCACCCTGGAAGGTGTACCTGGGATGCTTAGGTCAGGGAATGTGTGTGGCTTTCCCCCTAAATTAGTGTTTTGGTGAGATGTTTGCTTTGTTTTCTTATAAAAAGGAGGAAAACTAAGAAATGCTCAATTTTCCCCCTTCTTCCCCACTAGGGTTTTCCTCATATAATGGAGGAGGGATGAACGGCACAAGCACCATGATGGATTTCCTGGAGGAACCTCTTCCTGGTGTGGGCACCTACGAAGATTTTAACACTATAGACTGGGTGCGAGAGAAGTCCAGGGACCGGGACAGGCACAGGGAGGTAAAAATTCTTACTCCTCTTTGCTGGTCCTGAGGGAAGAGGAATTAACTTAGAGCTAATCTTAGTTCTGATTGCTGGAGTAGGGAGGCATTTCCTAGAGACACCTGGGATGAAGAGATTGCCCTTAGGATGGAAGCTGAGAGTTTTTAGTTTGATGAAAAGGAACGATAAAGCAAACATGTTGAAGTTTATCAGTTGCTACTTCTCTTCTGAAGGCTTTTATTTATTTAAAACTGGGATTTGATACACCTGGAACCAGCCTGTTTTTCTGCTCTCCCAATTGCACTGATGAATGATGCTCTTTCTCTTGGAATTTTTTTATTGAGAAGGCTGAGTGCAATTCTTGCAGAATTCCTTCCCAGGACTTCACCACTCTGCAATAAGAGGAATTTGCTCAGAAAGCAAGGAGGGTGTGTAAATGAAGTACCCATGTCCCCAGCCTGCTCCTGCCTCGCTGGCAGCACTCTTGTAGGGTGATGGCTGACTCAACTTACCGATTTGTTTGCCAAAGTATCCTTTGATTCTCTATTTTTTTTCCCTGCGCCACACAAAACAACCTGTGTCTTACTAGCAGAGCCCAAACAGAACATAGATCTTGCTCAGAGTATGGATAAATACAAGAAATACAGAATAATGCCCAGATTTGAGCCAGTACAGACCAGACAAGGGGCTCCATGCCCACATTGCCTCCTGCCCAAAAACTGATCCTGTCTCTGGATTAAGAGTACAAACCACAAAGCCTTGTCACAGGTATGTCCCCATGCACAGATGTGTATACAAAGGTGATGCCCATCAGCGGGAAACCGGATGAGCTGTTTCCTGTCTTCAGAGATCACAGAATCATGGAATGGTTTGGGTTGGAAGGGATCTTAAAGCCCATTGCATTCTGCCCCCCTTCCATGGCCAGTGACATGTCCCACTAGACCAGGTTTGCTCCAAGCCCTGTCCAACCTGGCCTTGAACACTTCCAGGGATGGTGCAGCCACAGCTTCTCTGGGCAACCTGTGCCAGAGCCTCACCACCCTCCCAGGAAAGAATTTTTTCCTAATACCCAATCTAAATTTCCCCTCTTTTAGTTTGAAGCCATTTCCCCTTGTCCTGTCTCTCCATACCCTTGTCCCAAGTCCCTCTGCAGCTCTCTTGGAGCCCCTTTAGGCACTGGAAGGGACTCAGGTCTCCCTGGAGCCTTCTTTTCAGGCTGGACAGCCTCAGCCTGTCTCCATAGGAGAGACTGAATCAGGTCAAGGCATAATTTAGGGCTGGCCAAAGACATGTAGGGTTGGTCCAGTGGAAAGAAATCCAAAGGAAGTAGTTTTGGAAGCAAGCCTAAGCCCTCCTGGATTCTGTCACTGTGCTACTTAGATCAGTGTGGCGTTTAGAAGACAAAAATCCAGAGAACAACCCAACCGATGCTCATCCAGGCAGAAAGGGTTCTTACTGCATTTATTCCTCACATAGTGGGTATTAGTTTTGTGCATCGATGTGCCTTTTTATCTAGAAATAATAGTGGTGAGCTGGAATGTTTCCCTGGGGAGAGACAGCTGGTTACTCAGGGCACACAATAGCTGTTCTGTCACTCTTTGTCTGCCTGTCAGGACCAGTGAGACTGACAGGCCTCAACTGTCCTCCTGGGCCATCTTGGACAGGGCTGAGATCTGCTTCCCTGTGCCCACTTCCCAGCCTGACCATTCCATTGTGCTAGCATTAAACCTGTGCCCACCCTCGTGTCTGTGTCCTTGAGGCACTGGCACAGTTTGCCTAGAGAGGTGGTGACTGCTCCATCCCTGAGTATGTTCAAGGCCAGGTTGGACAGGGCGTGGAATAACCAGTTCTAGTGGAAGGTGTCCCAGCCTATGGCAGGGACTTGGAACTGGGTGATTGTCAAGGTCCCTTCACACCCAACCCATTGTGTGATTCCATGATTCTTGATCCATTCTGCTGCTCCTCTCAACCAGAGCTGTGTTTACTGCACCAGCTGTGGGAGCAGCTATTGCCTGGTGCTCTTTCTCTCCCTACTCATAGCAGAGCAGTGGTGTCATCAAGTAGTTTTTAGAGCCTTTACACCACAGTGGATCAGTGTCCTAATGGATTTTTGTTTCTTTGGAAACCCTATCCCAGATCACCAGCAGAAGCAAGGAGTCCACCTGGGCACTGCTACACAGTGTGAGTGATGCCTTCTCTGGCTGGTTGTTGATGCTTCTCATTGGGTTGTTGGCAGGTAAGAGCAAAGCTCCAGTTAAAGCTAATTGCTGTACTGCAGCATCAGGATCGATTCCTCCACAAGCCCTAGCACATTCATGGAGCAGGAGGATTTGTCTCTAGATTGTGCTGACACTGCCTCTGCCTTGTAATTCACAACGAATGATTTTTAAATGCTTTGAGGTTGTGTTTGTGCAAAACCAAAGTACAAACCCGGGGCTAAGAGCTGTCCTGGGCACTACTCTGTCTCTGCTGCTGGTACAGAGCTCTGAAATAGATAGAAAATGTTAGTTGAAGCAGAGATGATCAAAATACTGGGCTGGAGAAGA